GGGGGGGGGGGAATGGGCACTGTTGGAATTGACTGATGCAGTAAAGCCAAGAAATGCATTTCAGAGAAGCCAGAAAATGTCAAAATCTCAAAGACTTGCGGTGATCAAGTTTATAATAATTAATTGCGCTAAAGCGTAACTGAATTTGAATATGATTTTTGCCGACGGATTTGCAGTCCTTTTTTCGGCCGTAGCTTTACCAGTCTTTTACCAATAACCTTAAAAGAAATTCAGCCAAGCATTTCACTAAACCCAATAAATTAAACAAACAAAACGAGGGAGTCTCCATAATTTGTAAACGCAGTATGCATGACAACATACGAGCGTCAAAAGCTGCCAAAGATAGCAAATCGATGGTTTTGCTTCTTCCAACGGTAAACAGAAGAAATTATAGCAGTCTATGAAGCGGCTGTCCCTACTTACTCGCCTGGCAGTATTTACGTACAAATACAGTTTCATTAACTTTAGATGTGAGGTTATCGGTATATGGCGAAAAACGACAGAAAATTAAGCTTGTTTGTTTACAATAGGCAACTTTATGTTCAACAACGACTCTATTCTTATTGTTTGAAATTCATCCAATTTCTACCAGTATGGTTCCAAATCAGATAACTAGGGAGACTTTAAAACTCCTATTGAAGATATAAGCTTAACTTGTAAGGGCTAAGCAGTAGATTTAGGGAGGGCGTGTGTGGCCGTAAGCTTATTTCGAGGAAGCAACTAGCTAATTTTTATGGAAAACACGAAAGCTTCTATGTAACAAAGTCGCTTACCACAATCGGCCGTAGGAAAAAAGATGGCGACTGGTACATTTACCCATAACTCTTAGTGCACGGAAACTAAAACAACGCTGATAAAAATGTACAGAAACGTTCTTAAACCTTCAATCCTAACATACACAATGTCGATAGCACAGGGACAAATACTGCAAAAATCTGCCTTTCCTTGTACCTTACGGGCTGTATTAGGCTCGCATGGTATTGTGGTAAAATGTACAGCCGCCATCTTTTTTCCTACGGAGGATTTGGCAGTTCACTTCAGTTTAAATCCTATAGGCAGAAACGTCCAGGAAATGTTGCGAAGACGGAACTGAACTGATGTTTTCGATAGATCAACGAATCAACCACTTTTTCCCGCTGTTTTTTCCTCTAAACACACGAAACACAGTTGATTTCTTTTATTGATCACCTGATGAAATCATGTCACTTCTTGCACGGCTGCACATCTCGACGCGCGAAATTCTGTAGTCTTCCGAGTCAGTTTTTCGGGTATTTCAGCTCTTTTCTATAGCCCTCGTTAGCTCTGCCTCATGGCTAGTTCAGTATTCTTTCATCTCCTTTCCTTAGCGCTGACTCGAACTAATTCACAGCATTGTTCAGTACTATCTCGCCTCCTTTCTAGCCCTGGCCCGCTCTTTCACGATCTTCCTCGCCACTTCTTTGGCTGGGAATCCTTACTCTCTGCCGTTCTCTTTAACGTTCCGCTTCAGGTAAACCCTATCTTGAAAACGTCAGATCAACCTCTCCTATCCTTTGTTGAATAAACAGGTAAAAATGAGGTTTTTTTCTGACTTTTCTGAAAAATCCCGAAAGATGGCATTCCTTAGCTTCCCCGTGAGGGCTATCTCGAGACGCCCCTCCCCTTCCCCCAGAGTCTGTACGGACGGACGTTCGCTCGCTCCTACGCTGCCGTCATAACCAGATCTTCTCGGCTTCATGGGTTACCAATTTTCCTTACCCATGGTGCTTCGCTGGCGCGCTTTGCGCGCTGAAGCTCCGCTATAATACTTTTTGTTCAAAAAATGCGTCATTGTATAATGCATTTCGAGAGTTTTCATTGGCTTAGCCATTATGGGTTATGAGCCATTATACCATGCTCTACAAATATAGTAAGTTTACGCATTTTTTTTTGAAGGGGGGGCATTTTTATTTTTATTTTAGTTGGCATTTTTAATAAAACAATTATTCCACTCGCGCTATTTGGATATATAAACAATAGCCTCCATTTGCGCGGAAATATGCTCGGATATTTGTCCGTGGACATTATCTGTTCCGAGAAGCAAACAGTTTTCTGAGAGCGTAGCTATTGTGTTTATTTTCCTTCAAATGCTTTTTGCAACACGCGCGATTTTGCAACTGGGGAATATTCAGTCACGTGACGCGTTTAGACCAATCGCGAGGGAACGAAAATATTTGATGGATTATGAGAGATGATTATAGCCAAGTCGGCGCTACGCGCCTTGTTGGCTATCTACTATCTCATATACAATGAACGTTCAGGGAATAATTGTGAAATAATTCTACCCCGTTTAAACGGCAACTCAAACCAATTATGTTTATCGTCCCGTTGTTAATACTGTATGTACTGATTGGAGTCTCAGTTTTTTGTAAAAAATATATCTGCATTTCTATGCTTATTAAAGAAAAGTTGTTTGGAAGTGCAATTGTGATATACCTGTTAAGACGTTACTCAATTTAGACCAATCACAAAATTTGACCCTACCCCGTTAATACGGCCAAATTTTCATGGCCCGTTGGTGACCGTTTTAACGGGGTTCCACTGTAAGTGTAAATGAGTAGTATGGTTGAAATTTAGTTGTTATTAACCGAGAAGGAGGTATGTATGGGAGAATCTTGACTGAGGTCGTGGGTACAGAGCAAACACAGTGAGGTCTGTGTACGCGACCGAGGTCAACATTCTCCCATACAGACCGACTAAGCTCAGTTAATAAGATCTTTACTATGTGGCAAAAACAATAAATCTTTAATTCTAGCTGACATTCTGCTTGCAAACGGCGATGAGCTGAACATAAATCTGCCAAAGTTTGCTCGTCCACTTTACTTTTTTTTTCTCATCAGGCTTTTTGACACTTCCATAATGTGAATTTTTTCTGGAACTAACATTTGTAGAAGAAAATAGTCAATATGTTTGTATTTTAGTTTGCAACTTTTTCTTTGCAAAACGGTAACCGGTAACCGGTCTAGACCGCGGTCAATGTCGATTTCAGCCAATCAAATTTGTGAATTTGGTAGTTCCAAGTCCTTGCAAGACACAGCCACACAATACAGTCTAATGAGAAAGAAAACATCCTAAAAAGTTATCAATGCTTGATTCAAAACGTTATTTCATCTGATTATTGTAGTTTCCGCCTTGACGTTTGGGAACTTTTCTGTCGTACCTCCTCTGACGCTAGAGAATGCCATGTTCTGTGTCTGGTTCCTGTATATTGAGCGAGAACCTGTCCAATGCATATTGTGGATGTTGAAGTGGATATGGGGTGACATGCTCTGTAGCTGTAATCCTGGTCAGGAAGATGGCATTTCCGATGTGGATCGTCTTTTTGAGAAAGGACCTGTAAATATTTACAATGAAGACTTAATTGTGATAGATGTCACCTGGAAAACTGTTAAAACAGGAATAGAAGTGAATAATGGATATGCTCTATTAAAGCTTCAACGAAACCGGACAGAAATTATTGAATTACTGAATAAGCAGTTAGAGGAGTGTATTTTTTTCCTTGAAAGTCTTTTGTTGATTAACTACAATGTTAACAAAAATTTGTTTAGTCATTTTTACAGATCATTTGTTGGAATTTCTGTAATTATCATGTTAACGGAAAAGCTTGAGGGGAATATTTCTCCTATGCAGAGCCGAATTATGGCTATATTACATGCCGTAAAAAAGCTATCTGATCTGGGAGGAAGTTTACTTCACCCAAAGTTACAACAGCCTTTGAAAGAATTATGTAGGTTTTATATCTAGTAAAATAGTCTTAATTAGATAGGGCGCGTTTAAAACACGAAATGGCGAAATTACGAAATGGCGAAATTACGAAATGGCACTACGAGTAAGAGTCAATGTGGGATATGGGCTGGTGTTTATAAGGGTAGCCCTTACTATTATTGAGAGCTAACCACCGTCTAATCAGTGATATTTAGGCTAAATTGAGCGCTATTTAGGCCAACCAGAGCGCTATTTAGGTTAACGGTAGTGCCGTTTCGTGTTTTAAACACACGCCCTATTAGATAATAATTTAGTGTGAGATTACAAACACATAAGATGTCGCTTAATTTAGTGTGAGATTACAAACACATAAGATGTCGATTGACATATTGTCAAAATATTAACTAGTAGTAATGAAAGATTAGAGCAGTGCGTTAACGCACGTACTTTGCATGTTTGGTCTACTTTGGTGGCATTCGAAACTAAGTTTGATCGAATGCTGATCGAATGATGCCCTGGTCCCAGAGGTTTTTCTTGATTTTTCTTCTTTTCGCGAAGTGGTTAACTCGTGTTTTCACCGCTTCGCGGCTTTCTCGCAGCTCTCTCATGTGGGGAAAAATCAAGAAAAACCTCGGGGACCAGGGAATGACAGATAACGATCTGCACGTGAAGTTGAAACCTGCGGTAAAAACGTGTTAATTAATTAAGTATTAACTTTACTGGACAAAATATTTTCCAGGAAAGGCATTTAACTGTTGGCGACACTTAGAATTCAATTTCAGATCGCCAACGTTGGTAACATATTTCTTGAGAAAATAACGTTTTGACTAGCGACCCTACAAGACAGCGCGTCGCCGAATGTTTTGTATTTGTTGACATTGCTCGAATTTACATCTTGTTTTCACAATTGAAAAAGGTGAATTCACCATTGTGACCACAAAACACGGCTTTTGGCGAGTTACACAACACAGAAAGTTTGTTTTCTGCCAACCAATTTGAATTATCGCCACAAAGTATTTGCGGAGCTACAAATCGGAAAATTTATTTTCTGACCACAGATCTGAGGGTCATCATGGCCATTTGCCGAGCTACACGGACGAGTTGTTTTCTTACCACAACTCATGGCCATTTGCCGTCGCAGAGCTACAAAACATTCTTTCCTGATGACGCAGGCTTTAGTTACTTGTTGTCAAAGGCTAGCGGGTCAAAATACATGTAGAATATAAAGTAACTGCGTGTATGCGCTCATGATGTAATTTGCCCCTGCTGAGTGGGGGGGAGGGGGGGCATTTCCGCAAACAAATCCGTCTGAAAAATTCTCAATACAAACTGGATTATTGGGTAACACGACGTGAACGCAAATATTCCAATAGACTATACTGAGTTCTTAGTATTGGGCTGGAACCAGACAATAGTGGAGGCTGTGTATCACTTGATACACAGTGGTACATGTAGTATTGATCTTTGCTATACTAGAACTTTACAAATAAATAACTCAAAAAGTAAGATGTCATAAATTAAAAGTTAATATTTACATTTATATACAGTGTTTATTTCTACATCTCTGAAATAAAAGCTTTGAAACCATTTAGTGAATCAAGAATTACAGGTAATGTTAAATTGTTTTAAATCCTAATTGACCGGACGTAAAAAGAGAATTTAAACGTATCATTCAACGTGCAAAGTTGGATGAATAGGGCGCAGTTAGAAAGACGTGAAGCTCTTGTTATGGGTGATATCTCTGCTGGTAAAGAGATGCCAACAAGATCTTTGTAGATTTTGCAAAACATGCACCTTGATTGATCCATCAAAGGCTAACTGCTGAAGAGTGTAGAAAACTGTTCACACCACCTTACCACCTTAAGTGGCTGAACAGAGTTCTTAATACCTGTTAGTCCGGGTACCCAGGCTGGGAAAGAGGGTTAAAAAAATGATTTCGTTTACTCGACGAGCTGGCAGACTTTGACAAACCCAGCAATGTTCTTTAGGCCTTAGGGAAAAATGATGGGGTGGCAGTGGAGCTGGCAAAGTGGGCCATGGCAATTTACAGTACCACAAAGTACACCCCTCCTGAGTATCTATCTGTTTTTTTTCACAACAATCTGGGACGAGGGGTGAAATAGTTTATGAGCTGTAGCCATCAACAGATTTTGTCTAACAACACAAAATTTTCACAAGGTAGAGTTCATGCCATGGATAACATGAATATGTTTATAATAAGTCAGGTAATCACATTATGACGTCATAAAATTGTCAACAACGGAGAGAGTCAATATTGCGGAGTACATTTTATCTGTACACGCAATCTTAAACGTCTTTTGGAGAGGGCATTTTACATTTGTTCTTATTTTTGTATAAAGTTCCTTTCACTTATCAGTTAAAAACTATTGAGAAAAATATCACAATTTAGACAGAAGGTACGAGGCATTTTACATCCAAAATAAAATAAAAATCTAATTATTGAAACTTAAGTTACATGTAGCATTGGGAAGTCCCGTCTCTAAACTTAAAAACAGGCTTAT